TGGGGAACAAGCCAGGTCTGAAGCCATATGTATTAAGTTGGAAATTGGAAGGGATTATCTCTGCCGAGGGAAAAGTTCTCTGTCTAGTGCACTGCTCTTCTACACACTACACAGCAGGCACTTCTTTAAAGCAGAGCTTGGGAATCTTTCCTCACAGGGGCCAAAAGGCTTTTATTAAAGCCTTGTATTAAAAATCTGTTAGGTAAATACAACATTCGTAATTTTTTGTATTTAAATGAAGATATTAAAATGATTAATCTATTTTATTACACACCAGTGCAATGTAAGAATAATCTCGTTGCTGCAGAATGTGTCTGCTAATGACTGTGGAGACGAAATCAAGGCATATATATTGATCCCAAGGCATACCGCACTTTCAGCATTGCTCCTTAGTGAGGGAGCTGTGTACAAAATCTGTCAGCAGAAAGACTCATGAACATCTTCAGTCTGTAAAGGTCTGAACTAATGTCACAACAAAAGTTTGTGATTTGTCTGAATTATTTTAAGAGGATTTGCTTTGGCTTTGGGGTTATTTTCCACTGACCATCCAAGTAGTTTTTCTCATGTGAATGAACACATAAATCAAATTTTTATCACGTTTCAGAATTCATGCCAGGCAGCATATACTATGAGAAGACTTCCTTCATCCTTTAAGACCAATTACCTCTAAGTAAAGTCCTACTTAAAGCCCTACTTTAGCTCCAGAAGGCCTAGGACTGAGGTATGGAAAAACGGTGTGTAAGGTGACAAGGTCTTCATGGGCCAATCTGTTGCTCCACTTAGTCCAATAATCCATTGGCCATACTCAGTATAATCTACCTACTAATAAAATCCTGACCTTGTATCTTTCTGGATCCCTGTGTGTTGGGGCTGTGCTGGGACAGTATGGTCAGAGAACAGGGGCTTGATGACTTAAGCAGCACCAGGGAAGATCATAGATTAATCTTCCTTCTTATCGAGATATGTCACTGAAAATTTGCCAGAGAGATATTTTATCAAGGCTTCAGGATTGTCTACTGCAGAAAGGCACAAATGAAAAAAGATTTCAACCTGGAGAAAATGCCTGCATCCTGTAACTTAAGTAAACAAAACTTTAGCTATCCTTTGGCTAAAGAAAATAAAATTTTATTTATTTGTCTTTATTAGATTAGTTCCCAGCAGTAAGTCAGCATCTGCTTTCAAACGGCATCACTCTTTTTTACTATGTCATCTCCTATTTGGAGAACCCCTGCTGTCTGCTCTGATGACGTTACAACCTTTGTCAATATTAAAAAAAGAAATTATTATCCATTTTAAGGCTCTGTGCCACTAATGTGAGAGCTGTCAGAGATTGGTTTCAAGGCCACAGCTTGTGCTTTTGCAGATCAACTCTCTCCTGCATCTTCAAGCCAAAATATGGTCTCTAACACGTTAAATTGCCAAAACCATACAACAACAGCAGGTAGGACAGATACCTGAGCCAAAGCTGTTACATTAAATAGCTGTAAACAGTAATAAGAAGCATAAATGTACGTAACTAAAATTAACCGCTCCAGGGCTGATTGACCAGAACCTGCGCTGAAAGCCGCAACGACCCGCAAGACAAGGCCCCGCGGGGCTGGGAGAAGTGGG